TGACCATGTATCAGCTCTCAGGCTGGATGTGTGCAGGTGTGTTAATGTGAAAGTAAAATGAAGGCATACTGTGTAAAGTTGTGTCATGTTGTATGTAGCTGCTGCAGAACGCCCCAGATGAAGTCCTGGTCATGGCCTCCTCTACACTATGCAATCTACTGCTGGAGTTCTCACCCAGCAAAGAGGTACAGATTCACACAAACTCAACATTGCAAAGAGAACAGATTGTATGACTTTAATGTTGAGACCATTTGCTTCTGTTTATCTGCAGCCCATCTTGGAGTCAGGGGTGATTGAATTACTATGCAGTCTGACCCAGAGTGACAGTCCTGCACTGAGGGTCAATGGGATCTGGGCCCTGATGGTAAAAGATATCTTCACACTTTTTACACTTGTCGGCTTCTTTACAACCATCAAAATCCTGGGAAGTGGATTGAATCTGTGCTTTCCAGAACTGTAAATGTTTGGATTTAATGAAACATCTCTTTTTCTCATTTTCGCTTAAACCATTGATCACTATGACATGTTCACACAGTGATTGCCAGATTATTTCAGTATAAAATGTATGTATGTGTTTGCGTGTTAAGAACATGGCGTTCCAGGCAGAACAGAAGGTGAAGGTGGAGATTGTTCGGTGTTTGGGTACGGAACAGTTGTTCCGCCTGCTATCAGACCCGGACACCAATGTGCTGATGAAGACCCTCGGTTTGCTGCGCAATCTGCTGTCAACACGCCCAGTGAGAGAGAGAGACACACACACACACACACACACACACACACACACACACACACACACACACACACACACACACACACAAGCATGTTTAGAGTTTTTATTAATGAAGGGTAAATTAATTTTGGAGAAAAAATTTTTAATAATAGCCAATGAGCCAAAGTCATTGCATTTTAGGAATAGCCCTTTTATGGGGGTAAATCAATGTCAATATCATTGTAAATGCTTAGACTATGAGTCACAAATACAGTATCTTACATTTTGTAATATAAATTTGCAATTCACAAATAGACCATGATCCACAAACACAGATTCTTGAATGCTGAGCAATGTGCAAGATTTGTACGCTTGTCTTGAAAGAGTATTTTGAAAATACATGTTAGACTGTTTGAAAATTGTGAAGAGTGTAGAAATTGGGATTTTGAGTCAAAATTATGATAAACAAATGCAGACGACAGAAATACATATTCTGTTTGTGGATAATTAAGAGTTTGTTTGTGGATTTTGAATCTATTTGTAGATCGTGTTTTATATTTGGAAAATATGGAAAACATTCTAGTCTGTGCAAAGAAAACAGCTGCAGGAGCAAAGTAGCACCCCTCTGGGGTTTCAGTGCTATCACAGGTCAGTATGTAGACTGTCTTTATTGGCAGGTCTTGAACGGTTACCCTTTATATGGCATGTCACAGGAAAAATTTTAGTAATTCACCTTAGCGCCAACCTTGTATGCACATATATTCATACACATCTGGTATGGTACCCGGTATGTGTTGAATTTACACAAACTGTCCAGAAATCTTACATATGACATGCATACAAATTCTCTCCTGCTTACACTCCACTCTTGACTGTCATGTTGTCAGCACATTGACCAGATCATGAGTTCTCATGGGAAGCAGATCATGCAGGCAGTGACCCTCATCCTGGAAACGGAGCACAGTTTAGAGGTCAAAGAACAGGTGAGCAGTCCCTCTGTTTTATGCTTACAAATGGGTTTTCATACAGAATTCTACTTACAGCTGCATTAAAAACCCACATTGCAGAGTAGTTTTAACATTCTGCAGACATGATTACAGGCTGTCTGACTGAGGTCAGTTTTTATCAGTTAGGCATGTCTACTGGTGTAGTGGTATTTGAAGAGATGGAAGCACATCATAGAGAATCACGTGACAATTTAGACTTTCTTTTCTGAACTATAAAGAACAAAATGTTCAGATAACAACCCTGATGTAACTCACTTTTCTTATCTGTCAGACGCTGTGCATCCTAGCCAACATCGCTGACGGCAACACAGCCAAGGAACTCATCATGACCAATGACGACATGCTCCAGAAAATCAAATACTACATGGTACTTTTTATAAACTATCCACTGTAGTTCACCCTGGTTCTCTGTTCATCAGATCACATATTTGGTATTGCTGCAGCATGCATACTTTCTCTCCTGCTTTCCCTTCACTCCTGACACGTTTACACATTAACCAGAGTCGTCATTGGAAGTCGTCGTTATTGTACCAACTGAGGCCTACACTGTTAGTTGTTTTTGGTTTTTTTAGTAGTTAGATATCTTATGAAGTGTGTGTGTGTGTGTGTGTGTGTGTGTGTGTGCTCACTTGTAATTTGTCTGACTTTGTACCTACAGGGGCATTCGAATGTGAAGCTGCAGCTCGCTGCCACCTTCTGCATCTCAAACCTTATCTGGAATGAGGAGGACGGTAAGGGACAGAACACACAAGTGGAAGGAGGAATAACGACAGGGGCCAGGTTCAGAGAGCAGGAGGAGGGATGTGAGGAAAGCTGGAATTATGTCATGTATGCTGAAATGTTGTAGGTCTAAAGACGTATTCACATTACAACGGGAAAACAATGGTCTTGCGTTCTGCGTTGCTCCCAGTGACACTTTAGCACCTTAGCAACAATGCTAATGTTGTTAGCAGTATATTGTTACACTTCAGGGGCTCAGTCTGTGTTTTTGCAACAAACCAGCTAGCTGCCTCTGCATGCTAATATTTCGCTAAACAACATGTTTTTTTTTTGTCTGATCTCAATGTGAGGCCAATTTGTTGTGCAGTTCTGGAAATTCAGAAACACAAGTAATTAGTTTTTCATCCATCTTTCAGTTCAAGCAGTGGTCAACAGCGATTGCTTGGAGCACCGCAGACATTTGCTCAGAGCCGTCACAACACACCACACACACAATAACGGAGGAGGTGAGCGCAAATGCTGTTTTTCCGCGATAATGTGAATACGCCTTGAGAGTGAGAATGGTTGAGAAAACATTTACCTGTTCAGTTGTTTACAGACCCTTGTGTCCTCTGCTCTGGATGAGATGTGAAACATCTTTTAAATGCAAAGTAAATTTTGTTGTCTACAAAACATGTATGGTGCACGAAATTCTCAAAGAAATTACATAGCCTTTTTTAACTCTGACCTGACAGTGTTCATTTTTATTAGCACAAAGCTAAAAATGGATTTTTAATGTTGGCAGATGCTGGAATGAATTAATTTTCCTCTTTGCTTTATCATGTGTTCTCAGGTTCTCAGGAGCGTCAGGACAAGCTGAGGGAGATGGGCTTTGTGGACATCCTGCACAAACTCACCCAGGCCTCTGACTCCAACCTCAGTGACAGGTAGGCCAGGATTGCAAATCATAAAACATTCTCATCAGACTCTTCTTAAATTTCTGAGCAGAGTTGACTGATTCGTCTCTCTCAGGGCGAAGACGGCGATGCAGCAGTACCTAGCATGACCACGGAGGGGAGAGATCCCCTACCGCCAGCCTAACTAACAATCGTCGGGAGGACACCTGCCACTGGTTCTTTTGTTTCCTGCTTTGTTTAATCTCAAAGCTTGTTTCGTTGCACAAAGACACCTTTTTTTCGGACCTGTGGCTGGCCTCCCTTCTCCTCCAACCTGCCACCTCAACCCTGGCTCAACAGTTTTGCTCTCTCCAAACTGGATCTTGGAGACTGAGACCATGGCTGTTGGGAAATCAACGGTTAGAGTTGCTCTTGTTTTTCTCTTTTCAACAATGAAGTGAAATGTTTCCTTTTGAGACTTTGTGATTTGTGATCCTTTCTTCCTTTTTGTTTTTTGAGTTTCAGCCTGACACCAGTGCCACCTTGGTGCTTTTGGACTCCCGATAGTGGAGATTCTGGTGTCAGAACGCGGACTATGAGGTTTGACACAATGAACAGGGGTGTTGGACAGCAAAGCGTCCCAGTTTTATTTTTTTTCATTTTTAATTAATATTAATATTAATGTTTCCTTAAGGCATCGCAAGCAAGGACACATTTGGAAAAACAGACTGCCTATTTTGAAATTCTGGGTGTTTCTTTTTTTTGTGGATACATACCTCGTAAATATATAAATATATATATATATAAATATAAACATAAATATATATTTTGGATTCTTATTTTCCCCTGACCCTCTGTTTGTTTTCATTCATTCTCTCTGAACCATCTTTCTTGGCACAGCAGGGTGAATCCACTGCAGTGTGGCAGTGAATAAGGAAAAGAAATGTAATTCCCCCGATTTCTTTTTCTTCACCGTTGTGGTTCTGTGTGCACTGGTGCCTGTCACTTCTGTCTAATATCCTTATAATCCCAATGGGAAATGTAGATCCAGAGTGCTCACTCTGACCTGCCCAGTTACTAATTAACAGGCATGAGTACACAGAACACCAGAGATAAGAGGATGCATGTATCCTCACACCTCTTTTGAATAAGACTTAATGTCTGTTGCTGTTTCTGTGGTGAAAAGGGAGAAATGGTTTCTTTCCTCTGGTGTGTTCTGAGAAGCGAGCAAGGACAGTGTAGATTTCAGGAATAAAGGAAGAATAATTTAAGACTGGCCCCTGGAGGGTAAAGCGCTAAGTGCATCCACAGCAGCAGAATCAAGTTCTATATTGTGTTTCATCCCTCTATCATTTCTTCTCCCATCAGGATATTTATATAGTGTTTTTCCCCTGACATTTCAAACCTTACTGAATCTCTGATAGAATGAATGTTACCATTGAAAATATATGCAGACCTGAAGAAGGATTTCTTCTGTGTTGCGTCTTTCTTTCTTCTTCGAGGGTACAGCACGGTTACAATTCAGTTTCTCCTTTTTAAATACCAAATTATCCTATGAACAGCGGTGCGTGTTGTTAAATGACCTTCCCGGGATGCTTGCTACGTCTGTGACTCGATTGTAATGCTAATACATCAGGCACAAAATGGGGTTAAGGTCTCCCAAGAGCAGCACAGGAGTCTTGAGTCCTTACAAAACAACATTTCTTTATTATAGTACAGTATGTAATCTTGGTAAAGTTTTCGTGTAACAGCAGTCTTTAATAAAACGCATCTGAAACCCAACAGCCTCCAATAGGGCAGGCAGTTTTTGTCTACTCCCATAAGCCCTCCGGCCTCCACAGCTCAAAAGCAGGCACACTCATGCAAAAAAAAGCTGTGACATGCATTTAAAACCCCGTTTGTAAAGCCAAGACCCCCCCACCCCCCCGAGTAACCCGCAACGATCAGAACTCCACAGACATCAACGGAAGTTCTGCTCAGTAAATCTTTTTATTTCAGTGTGTAAAGAGTCCAGTTAGTCCTTCCCCTGCTCCCATTACAGAAAATAGAAACCAGACATCTGGCTCTCTATATTACAAGTTACATGTGGTGCACAAAGCACCTTAGCAAAAGAAAAAAACTGCAGAAGTCCTGAGACCTCCATAACGACGCAGCCTGGGTATTGTAGTTTCAGGGTTAGGCTGTTGTCTCGTACCATAACGCTCAGTGGTTGGCAAAGAGGGTTGGAGATGATGAATGTGCATGTTCAAAATATGCTGTGTGTGTGTGTGTGTGCTACATACAAATTAGGAAGGTTACACTCAAAGGCTGGAGTGCATCCAGTTATGCATTCAAACAGTAAACCTTCCTCCCCAGCCCGTTTCTGTTAGATCTCCCGGACTCGTAGTATATTCTCTCATTGCTTTTGTCAACAAAGTAAATAAATAAATTACTTACATTTTAGATAAAGGTGCAAGTGTTCTCTTTAGGTGACATTGATGGCTTTCTATGTAAAATTTAATCCAAATACTTGCCTGTAATTAACAGGTGAAGGACTTTTAGGGAAGTCAATGTCTTTACATGGAGAAGGCACGAATGGCTGGATGGCTAAAGCTCAGGAGTGATGTGGGAGTTTGCTATACAATACGATAGGCTTGTTGTAAACCGTCATGACAGTGAGGAACAGTTATATATGGGTGCTGTTTTATGATATCAGTTTTTTCCCCCACTTTCTCCATAAATCTTGCTTTTGTCTTTGGCACACAACCCAACTGCTAACCCAGACATTTAGGTCTCCACTCAAACAGAAGCACTGCTGCTCCCTTACATGTTCATCTATTGACTTACTGTAGACTGTGTACTTCAAACTTCTTTTACAGGGGATGAAAATGTGGACACTTCTGTTCACGTTTTTTACGAACATGAGTGATGGCCGTGTGGATGACTGAAGCAATGGTTAGATGGTCAGCTGAGGGTTCGCCTCTACCACCAGATAATCCCATCACTTTAAAAATAATCCCATTGATGAAGCAAACTGGCTTTCCAGGTGAGGTGACCTGAGACTGATCGAAGATTTTACATTCCCAGTCCCAGTGCAGTGGCTCGGATTATCTGGCTTGGGTAAGGACATGTTTCCTGCTGAGATATGTGTTTGCCCTTTGAGAGGAGGAGACATCCAAAGTGGGTTTAAAATGCAATATTGTGTGTTCAGTTAACTGGAAAGTAATAAATTAGGCTCCAGAGATTAAGGGAACCATTTAAGAAGATGTGCTCTGGTCCTGTGTGTCCTGTAGCGGTGGGGATTGACTGATGCTACAGAAGTGTTGATACTGTAAGACAATTTGTGCTGTTGTAGTTCTGCTGTTCATCAGTGTGGAAAAGTACTCCACTTATATGCTGACAGCTGGCACTGTGTCTCGGCTGCACAGGTGTTTCTGTTTACCTCTCTGTCCTTTTCCAGCCTGACAAATCCTGTGTGAAATGGACCAGCTGTCCTATCCTATTGGTTTTCATTCCATCATGCAGCTGTCACTTTCCCTGATCTGATCTCTTTTCAATCTCTTTCATTCTCTGCTACTCTACTGTTGTCTCTCACTTTAGCTCAGTTTTAAGCCATTCATAACGCTGGCTCCTCTTCATCAATAAAGCTGATGTGCTCTGTCGAGGACCTGTCCTCCTCCATCTGTAGTCCCCACTCCTGCATCTCCATCTCCTGGGGATGAGTGACAGGTCTGGCCTCCCTGTGACTGAGCTGTGAGTTGCACCAAGGTGGAGACTGGGTATCTACCCGTCTTCTCCTTGCACTAACAAAGTCCAGGGACAGTGGCAGGGAGGTGATGGATGTATGGAGGGAGACGCTGGGTGAGACCATAGGGGCGGGAGGGGAAAGCTTCAGGCGATGGGCTCCAGGGGAGGATGTGAGCGATGGGGGAGCGGAGCAGTGGGAGGATGGGGGAGGAGGGGTGTCCTGGGAGGGAGGCGGGGGGAGCAGGCCTCTGCTGGTACAGCTGTTGGGTCGGGACCGGTGGGGGCCTTGGCAGGGAGAAAGGGATGTCGAGGAGGAGAAAGACATGGAAAAGGAAAGAGAAGGTGAAGGGGTGTGAGAGGTCAGGGGAGGCTGGTCCTGCAGCGAGGGCAAAAATATTCCGTTACTGGATGAGGTGTGGAGGCTTCGGAGGACTGGGGATCCCTCAGGAAGTCCTTTCTCGGGTGAGGGAAGGTTGGAGGGGGTGGGGCCCTTGATGTTTCCCCCTGGGGTTGTGGACGGCGATGCTGAAGAAGGTGAATTAGGCCTTTTTGGTGAATGAGGAGTTGGGAGAAGGCATCCTGGCAAATCCACACCCTGTATGTCTCCACTGTCCAAGAGGGAATGAGTGTCAGGTCTCTGGAGGGAACATGGCGTGGTGGAGGGTGGCACCACGACACAGCTTGTTGATAGCTGGCTGGCATTGCTAGGAGGCGGGGTTAAATTTGGCATCATGGTCATGAGGATTGGCTGCGGTGCTGTTTGGAGGAGGGGCTTAAGCAGGCGTGTCATTTCCTGCAGCTCCTTACTGAGCATGGAGACTTGTTTAGAGAGACTGCTCATCTGTACGGTGAAGAGAGACACAGCATAAACACACACAAAATGCTATATCAGGTTTGTTGTTGCTCAGGGGGATAATGAGATAGGCAGGGGTGCTTACAAACATCATGACAAGTTAATCCTTACTTATATAAAGCAAAATCTGATACACACTCTGCATACATCATTTTCACAGACAACAGCACCATTTATTTTGACTACAGAGAGCATGCTGCGTGCTGAGATAGAATATTATGCTGGAAACACTTAAAGAGCTTGTACCTCTGCTATTTTAGTAATAGAATTGAATTTATTTTGTACCTGGAACTGGATCTGCGACAAAGCACACATAGTGAGAACAGGCGTCATGCTGATTGGCTAATGGTGCCCATGATTTTGAATCCATAAATCCTGTTCTTAGGTAAGTCAGAATTATCACCACCAACTTACTGACATGTAAATGCATCATGTTGCTGTTGTCTATTGCTGAAAGGCCATCACATTTTACCAGTGTTGGAAGAAGCACTCCCATCTTTGACTTAAGTAAAAGTAATGGTACAGCAATGTAAAACTAAAGTAAAAGTCTGGCATTGAAAATCCTGCTTCCAGTGAGTAAAAGTATAGAAGTAATATACCTTTTAAAATTAGTATCAAATCTTTCCGCAGAAAACTGGACCCTGTGGGTGTTACAGTAACATTTTACATCAATCAATAGTCGCATTTTACTGTTGTCGTCGGACCTGGCTGAGCTGACGACGTCATAACTAGTCAGTAATTTGGTCCACTGGTTCCCAACCTAGATAAATCTGAGGGGTCCTGAGATAATTAATAGGGCAGAAAAAAGAAAGTTCGGCTACACTTTTATCTAATCTTTGATTTTATTTTTTGTGAAATATTAGATAATTTCACCTCTTCACGGAGGTATTATCTCTTTTTGTAAGATTCTTATCTGAAAAACAACCATGTCACTGCTGTCAGATAAATTTAGTGAATATAAAAGTACAATATTTCCCCTCTGAAATGTGGTGGAGTAGAAGTAGAGAGAAAAACAAAAAAAAACCAAAAGTATTTGAGTTCCACCATAGCCTTTTTTTTGCAGATGTTTATACCTGTCAACTAAATTTGGTTGCAATGCATTGGTGTGTTCCGGGGTACGTTATGTCAAACAGAACACATCTTGAATAACTTTATAGGAAGGTGGTGTGGTTTGTTATAAAAGAAAATATTTTGGGCTCACCTTTTAATTTTATCTTCAGACCTAAATTTGGAGAAGAATGCTGAAGAATTGAATTGAAAGAATGAATGAATGCTTGATAAATGTCCACATGGTGGTGCTATCTGGTTTTTCTCAGCATATTGCCTGACTTTCCACTAAATTGTTTCCAGAGACATTTGGATTAGTAATAAATGCACTGGTGTAACTAATCACATTAATAATGCCTCCAATCTATTCAAGTGTCCCTGTAAGACACGACAGAACGACAATGAGCCACCATGCTCAAAACTAGATCCCTGAAACTGAAGCAGCTAAATGGAATTCAGCCATAATTCACTTCATCATCTGTAGCCTACCTGTGCCTTTGCTACTGTGACATGTCAAAATGTCTTGAAAAAGGTCAACTGCAATCTCTTCCGAAGTTTAGGAAGCATTCTGCTGGCTAACGGAAACAAACACGCAGAGTAAATGGCTCAATGTGTTACCATCATGTGTCAACACTCACCTCCTCAGTCAATTTAGACACACTCTGCTTTATCTCAGAGTGCTCCTGGATCCCTACACACAAACAAACAAACATGTATGAACATTAATCCTCTTGAAATACCTATTCTTCTTCTGAGAGAGAGAGACACACACACAAAATGCTTCTCTGAGAGTGTGTGAGATACCTGGGTAAGGGGAGGAGGATGTTGCAGGTGACAAGCTGTGACTGAACTCAAACTTCTGTGATGAGGTGGAATTGCTCTCTGTTTCAATGCCGTCCACGAATCTATGCAGAAAAGTGGGATTAAAAGTGAGAGAACGAGCACAGGAGAGGAATGTAAATCGGAGCAGAAGAAAAAAGAAAACTGAAAGAGCCTTAGTTACAGTACACATGTCAGTGTTGGCTGTGCAGTATTTTCATTCAAACATAAAACCCCCTCTATCAGCAGGTTTTGTTCACACACCACTGCACAGTAGACAGGGTATCATTAATCTCTGTGCGCTCATGGACATGTTTGCTTTCCATGTGCACACATCATCCTACAGTGTGAAACCTACACCCTCCAGCCAGGCCCCATGTGATCCACTGGCAATGTATTGGTTACCATGGCAGCTAGACATCTATGCTGCAGTGTGCGCCTTCTTTTTCAGGTGTGTGTGTGTGTGTGTGTGTGTGTGTGTGTACCTGGGGCTGAGTTCAGGCGGCACGCTGCTGAAGCTGACCACTGGTATCTGCAGAGTGGTGGGGCGGGAATGCTCAGAGGGAGCGCGGAACGGCCTGGGTGGCAGCAGAGGGGAGCGCAGGGGCGAGCTAAGCCCCCTGCTGAGACGCAGCGGGGAGCGAGGAGCACGGGACACCGAGTTCTGCTCCTCGTCACCCTCCTCGTCCTCACGGATCGACGGCAGCTTCTTCACCAAGCCGCCGTTACTTTCCCAGTCCACCTGACAGATGGAGAGAATGACCAGAGGTCGAACATAACATGACATGAGCCATCACACCTGTAGTCACTTACAGCAACAGAGAGGCTAGTTGTTTAATGTTTTAAACACAGTTAAATCAGACTCCCACTGTTGATAACTGTAGTGACATGGTTGTACCAGTGGGTGGCAGACAAACACAAGGGATTGAACCCTTCAAAAACCACTTCATCCTTATCTGAATCTAAAATCTAAAGATAGAGGGTGTACAGATTGTAAAACACCTTGAGGCGAATGTGTTATATTGGGATGTATAAATACAAATGACAAACTGTGTGCAGACACCGCACATGCACTTTAACTTAGAGTAGAGCAGCTGCAAAACTTTGTTCCTCCATTTCACAGCTGTGACTTTAAAATGCAACAGCAAGATGAGTTTCATTTCTTAGGCTGCTGACATTACAAGCAACTACTCATACGGACTTCAAGAGCCTGAGCTATGTTCCAAGCGTCTCCTGTCACCCTCGAGGGATTGTGTCAGATGTTAGAGAAAAGGAGGAGCGAGTTATAACTAGTTTAATTCCAATTATTTTTTTATTTTGTATTGAGTGAATATTGTTTCGCCTCCGTCTTTGCCAGGCTGCAAAAGGAAGCCTGTCATGCTACATTTAATACAGACTGCTGCGTCTGACTTTTCCTCATCACTTTCTCCCGAGCACACAAACACACACTCCCCTGGTAGTTATACTCGTCCCGGTCCCCATCAGCAATGTCCCTGCTTATGAATTGAATAATTTAGGCAGACTTCAGTGTTGATGCTGGGTCGCTGAAAACTTCCAGAAATGACTAGCTAAACAAAACACCAACTGGAAGATGAGCGAGTTAAAAGTTCTGCGTTAAAAGAGGCAGGACTGCATAAACTAGTGAGAAAACAAGAGCAGAAAAGACATTTTTAATTTAATCGTAACAGAAGGTTAACAGGACCATCAGTCACTTGTCTTATACTGCTTGTAGCAGGGACGTAACCAGCATTTTAGATTTCCGGTGTTAAATTATTTTCATTAATGAATGCAACTATTCTCGTATATGTTTATATATTTTATCTCTCTATAGTGATCTTTTACTGTGCCAGGATTACAATGTATGATACTGAATAAGGAATATATGTGTAACTTCTGTGCAGGAGAACAAGGTCATTAAACCCCCAACGTCCCCTGAAACCTGGCATCTTAAATGGTATCTTCGGCCAAAGCGCTAAAGACTCATTATTATTTAAGGTTCCAATCATAATGAGGAAATAAAACAATAAAAGAGTGAGGAAGAGTCAAACAATAATTATGGTGATGACTTTGCCATTCTCCTCTACTGCCTTCAAATTAATAACATCATCATGCTTTAACATGGAATGACTGGTGCAGTGAGTAATGATTGTATTTTATATCTCATCATTGCAGACAAACCAAGGCCCCTCTGTTTCCCCCCTTCCCCTGCTCTCTCCCACTCCCTCTCTTCGCCGTTTTAATCAAGCCTCTCCCTGCCTGCTCAGCATACTTTCTTTTCTCTCCTCCTCCACAACCCCCCCTCCCCAATGCCACCGTAATATATTTTTAGCTCTCTTGTTCTAATCTTAGCTCCAAGCTCTGGAGGAAACCAAAGAGTGCTCTGGGATGCGGGGGAGTGATAAGTGTGCACGTGCCGCATGTCGGCATGTGCTTGTCTGTGTGTGTGAGCGCGTGGGTGCGCTGAAGTTTTGTATTCGCATCATGTATGAGTGATTGAGTCAGGCTGTCCGCAGAAATTGGAGTGCAGGTACACATGTAAGTGGATGTATGTAATCTGTGTGTGTGCAAGAATAAACCAAGTGCTCTTTGTCTTATTTTTGATGCAGCAGTGTGTGTACGTGTATGTTTTTTAATGCTATGTACCGATGCAAGAAATATGTTGTTCTCCCTGTCGTGTTTCTGGTGCAGAGATTGAACAGCACAAGAGCACGGGGACCAAAACAACCTGTAATATTTTTTTCCCTTTCTTCTGTTGCACAACTCAGTGCACCCAGTCGACTGGTTTCTCTTGCACATTGCATTGTTTTGCCCAAGGCTCCGGGGTCATGACCGTTAGTCCTGTGAATCAGCAGCAAGGGACACATCACTTAGATGATGGGTCTTTTGTTTTCTCATCTTTTGCCTTCTTCCTTGCTTAGTAAACCCTTTCCACATTTGGTTAATTTTTTCATTTCCTACGCTCCCTCTTTATCGACCTTTCTTGTATTTGATATTAAGTCATAACTGGCCAACACGTTTTTGTTTTTGCTGCGTTGAACATTATCAGTCATCCTTTGAGATTACCTCTCGAAGTATCTGTTTACTGAGCAAGGAGGCGTTAGATATCTGCAGGCTTTCCCCCCCTTGTCTTACATATATATGCAAACACACTTTCCTGGGCTGCTGGTACCAGGAGGGTTTTTGCATACATAACCAGGATGGACATCTGCAACCCAGACCAAATGGGCAGCAGCTTGTGCATCTGGAATCGTGCATCCTCTGGATACAGCTACACACACACACTCATATGTGCACACATTTTCACCCTGCTCAAACACTGCAGCAAGTGTGCTGTGCCTTGGAGAAACAAACGGCACTGCAGTGAAAAAGGAGGAACTGAGGAAGAGCAAAACAGAAAGTGAGAATGTTCCCCCTCCCCTTTGTCTCTCCTCCTCCTCCTCCTCCTCCTCCTCTCTCTCCTCCTCCTCCTCTCCTCCTCCTCCTCCTCCTCCTCTCTCTCTTCTCTTCTGCTGGCTGGGCTATTTATATCGAGCAGGATCCAATCTTAGTAACAGCTGCGGGGGACTGAGCCAGTCAGGGACAGCCCGTGCTTCCCCCTGCACTATTTTTAGCAACAGGACAGCTTCAAACAGCATCACTAAGCTATTCTTGTCCCTGTGTTTTGCTCCCTCTTCTGCTGCTGCACCAGCCAAAGGTGCAGGCTGTGTGTTTGTGTTTTTTATGGCAGTAGTAAAGATACTTCAAGGCTAAAGCTTGTCAAATTGTACAAAGGTGTGTGTGTGTGTGTGTGTGTGTGTGTGTGTGTGTGTGTGTGTGTGTGTGTGTGCACCATATACAATTTAAATTTTGATTTGCACTTTCCCAGCTACACATGCAGTGGTGTGACTGATATGGTGGGTTGTATACTGCGGCGCTACCTTGACCTTGAAAGGTATGCAGGCGGCATTAGGACTGTCTGTAGATGGTGTATAAATGCATAGGCAGAGTAGACATCATACATCTACGGCAGCATGTTGCTGCCGCCGACTAAAAAAACATTTGCTATTAAGAAACGAGAAAGGTTTCTCATTCCCATTTTTCTGAGAAAATATTAATTTCCTTTAATCCTTAATTTCAACTGGCAAAACAATGTCCACAAGGAGGCAGTCTAATCTGCTTAATTCAATTCAAAATACTTTCAATGTCCTTTCAGGCCCAATATGGGGTTTGCAAACATAAAAACACATTCATTCACAGCTATTACATTTGTGGTATTACTCTGTTGTTCAACACATTACTGTGTGTACTCACATCTGCCCCGTGGCCCTCTCGCAGATTGTACGTGAGGTCATGCTGTATCTCACTGATGAACTTCTGGGCGTACTCGGGGTAGAGTCGGAGGACCTCTCTGAGGCCCTTGAGGCTGATATACTGCAGGTCGCAGTAGGTCAGGGCCTTGACGTTGGCATTGGTTTTGATCACCTGCTCCTTTGTCAGGTAGTCCGAGCCAATCAGATCTCCTTTACCTGTGAATGGGCATTGACATAGAGACAGGTGTAAGACAAACACACCTCCACTTTTATTTTATTGAAGCAGAAAGTCAGAGAGAGTATATTTTCACTAACTTTCTCCACCTGAGGGGAATCATTGAAGTTGGTTAAATAAATAAAACACAGACTGACTGAGCTGCAGATCATCAAAGACAGAAGATGAAAGAAATGGACCCTTAAAGTCATTTCAGCAAGAACAGGTGGGAGAATGTTTTGGATTGCATGTTTAATGTACTTAGGATTTCATTGTTTAGACTTAACTTTTTATAAATATATCCAGTCCCCTCCAAAAGTATTGGAAGGCAAATTCCTTTGTTTTTGTTGTTCACTGAAGACATTTGTGATTAAGATCAAAAGATGAGTATGAAACAAGAGTTCAGAATTTCATTTCTCATGTCGTGGTATTCACATCTAGATGTGTTAAACAACTCAGGACATACCACCCTTTGTTTGAACCCACCCATTTTTCAAGTGAGCAAAATTATTGGAACATTTGACTGACAGATGTTTCTTGTTGCCCAGGTGTTGCCTTTTGGTCCAAACATTAAATAGCTCTGCATGACTAGTCTAAGTTTTCAGCCTTGGTTCAAACCTATAAAGACTGCATTTCCTGTTAAAGAGGATAAACCAACATGAAGACCAGAGAGCTGTCTATGGGAGAAAAGCCAGCCATTGTCAAGCTGAGGAAAGACGGAAAATCGACCAGAGCCATTGGACAAACACTGGGCATAGCAAGCACAACAATTTGGAATGTCCTGAAAAATAAAGCAACGTCGAACAGGTCGGCCAAGGAAAACAACAGTAGTTGATGACATAAATATCGTGAGAACTGTGAAGAAAACCTCCAAAACATCAGTGAGTGACATCACCAACGACCTCCACAGTGCAGGGGTGAAGGTTTCACAATTCACTGTTGGAAGAAGACTCAGAGAGCAGAAATATAGAGGCCACACCACAAGATGCAAACCACTCATCAGCAGGAAGAATCAGAAGGCCAGATTGAAATTTGCAAAGAAGTACAGAGATGAGACGCAAAAAACACAATCTTATGGATGATGAGACCAAGATGAATCTCTAGCAAAGTGATGGAAAGGCCAAAGTGTGGAGAAAGAAAGGAACTGCTTATGATCCGAAGCATACAAGCTCATCTGTGAAGCATGGTGGAGGTGATGTCATGGCTTGGGCGTGCATGGCTGCTTCTGGAACAGGCTCATTAATATTTATTGATGATGTAACTGATGATAGTAGCAGCAGAAACATTTTGTCTGCCATTTTACAGAGAAACGTATTGAAACTAATCAGGAGGAAGTTTATCATGCAGCAGGACAATGACCCAAAGCACACTGCCAACAAAACAAAGGACTTCATCAGGGGAAAAAGTGGAAGGTTTTAGACTGGCCAAGTCAATCACCTGACTTTAACCCAATAGAGCATGCATTTCACCTCCTTAAGAGGAGACTGAAGGGAGAAACACCCTGAAACAAATAAGAAATCACAAATGAAGAATGCAACAGTTTGGCGATATCGATGGGAATATCAAACCCCGGAGTATCAAAGGAATTTGCCTTACTGTTCCAATACTTTGGAGGGGACTGTACCACCTGCAAAAAAAAGCACTGAATAGTTGTTAGTATTAGTTTCCTGAAAGTCAGAGTTGGCCTGTTGTGTTTGCTAAGAAACATGCAAACAGGGGGAACTCCTCAGCCTGTGAAAACAGTTGTATGTGTCCTGTTAGCTTGGTTCCAGACCTCTGAATTACTGCCCATATCTCATTGAGATGTGCTCAGTGTTTCCAATCAATGCTTTGTGCCAGGTCCAGAAAAATGGGGACGCACTAAGATTGGCAAAGCTTACTTAGACATTTAATCGAGGTGTATTTCCTTGATAAACACATCAGTACTAACATGAACATGATGTCTGACTGAATAATGCAAGTAGAAAAGGCAAAGCAAGTTAAAAAAGTTAAACTAAGTGTGCTCACAGGGGAAAATTGGTCTTATAACATTTTAAATAGTTGAAATACGGAAAGAAGTTGATGTGGCAGACAAAATACAATTAGTGAAAGAAGCTGAAAAGGCAGTTAAAGTGAAGCACTGTTTGAAGATGAAGTATCGGTTAAAGTGAAAGTGCTGAAAGAGTTGAATAATGAGTATACGTTCAATCACTGACAGCATCTAGAACTGCCAAAATGTGATAGAGCAGTAAGATGCAGCTGAAATGTAATCACTGAAATCCTTAGTTAAACAACAAGATTAGTTAAACAAAGGACAAATCGACATGTAAGAGCTGAAAACAATTCTCAGTTGAAGAGTAAGAGTTCAAAGCAGCCGATGAAGAAGAGACGAAGGCAAGGGAAGTGTGTTTTTCCAATGACTGAAAATGCCGTTTTTGGGACGAATAAATCATTCAACAGACATCAGCTAACACGAACGTGATGGCAGAGTGAACCAGAAGAGTGCAGATCTCCGCCAGGTGTGTCTGGGGTCATGTGGGTGGGGAACAGGGAGTGCAGGGCAGGCTGTGTGTCCAGCATGCATGCATTAGAGTAGTGGAATTAATTTTGCTATTTAGATATACGCAATGTTTTTAATAAAGTGTTTTTCTACAGTATAGCCTCAATTTTCAACAGGATGCATAGAGTATGCAGAGTATGCATGAGTAGTGTAATGGTACTGTAACCGAGTGTCCTGGGTTGGCCTAACTATATAAACTTAATAAGGAAACAACAAACAGGATGGATTTAAACATTCTTATATATTTACTTTTTAAATTTATTTAGAACATTTTGTTATAACACATTACAGAAAATAAACCCCTGCCTACCTCCCTCTCCCTCCCAAAGAGTTGAATCCCACTCAGTTGATAACATAAACAAGGATTAACAGAAGTTCATAGATGTATATCATAACATATTGAGTATAGAATTATTTATCTGCAGATGCTCCGGTTCAAGATGAGACCAAACCTTTCTATTGGAGGTCAGTTTTGAGGGACGACAAAGGCCAAAATTTGGCATGCAACAGACTAAGTAAGTGTTGCTTTTATCCTAGCCCTGTTGTAACGCATATCGTGAAAAGGGTGAATACAGCTGAGAAGATACAACTCTAAGCTTTACAAGTCAGTAACATAGATTTAAATAAAATGTGAGTCAGGTCCTTGAGGATACAGTCATAAATGTGCACAAAAGATATTAGGCTGATGGGTTCAGTGGTATGCAAGATTAGCTGCGCACACACACACACACACACACACGACCAAACAATGATCCCCTCCAGGCTTATGGCTGACGGAGATAATAATGAACTAAAAACAAAATGGCATTACATTCTGATTATCATTGTTTTCTGTGGCTCTGAAGGAGCTTTGGGTTACTTTTGTCGCCAGGGTTATCATTGTTTTGGCCTAGAGACTACACGTTTTTACCAGGCAGAATGAGTCCGAGTTTCTTTATTGGAAGTGTGTATCCACTTTTTCTCTCGCCATATTAGTGACTTAAATGTCAGGATATCTCAGCCTCGGCTTCTTTAAATGTTGTTTCTTTCAATTTATCTCTTCCAACCTTATGAAAGTCCAACACTAGATTGCTGGAATACTCCTTTGATATAAAGTATAACTGGGTACAAACATTTCAAGTTATTTAACTATTTTTAAAAGCATCATTGCAGTGAAAGACATTTTGTTTTCTGGCTCTCCTTCAGCTGCCCTCAATCCTTTGCAAGATATGTACAGATGATTCTTTTTCAGAAAGAATTATGGGCACCATCCATTGTTTCTTTCAAGGTAATCGTGTTTGAGAGGATTATTTTTTAAAAGCCTGATGAGGAGGAGAGTTTTGTCGGTGCAATGCAGGAATGCTGCCTGTTGGTATTTCACAGAACAACTAAACCGCTGGGAGGACCAAAATCTTGTTACTGAAGATAACAACAGTCCTGCTCTGGTTCATCATACCCCCATAAGTTTATTAACTGAGAAAACAGCATGATGTCAAAAAGAAAATGTATTATGCTCTATATTTGGCAACATTAATTTGTGAGGCTTTTGACTGACAAAGCCCCCTGCAGTATTAAGAAAAAAAAAAGGGAAAAAGTCAAACAAAGACTGCTTAGGGGCTGCACAGCCACACAGTGAGGAAAAGAAAGAGAGGGTTGGAGAAAAACAAGCAGAGAGGGAACAGAGGCAAGATGGGTGATGGAGTGTGGAGGAGGACTAAAAAGAGGCAGAGAAGATGAAAGGGGGGTGGATGAAGAGGGACACAGTGTGGGGGTGTCTGTACACTGGCATGGGTTGATTGAGAAGAAATGGATGGGCGGGGTGAGAAAGGGAGAAGGAAGGGGAGAGGCGGTGGAGAGTGGGAACTTGGAGAGTACCATGTGAGCAACAGCAGCCAGTGTATTGGACATGGTCCTTCCCCTCCTCCGAACCTCTGACCACATCATGCTGTCGCCACCCTCTGTCCAACATCCTCACTTCCTGAGCCCCTTCACCCATCTGTGCCTCTACTTCATTTGGCATGATGGGCTCTTCACATGCTCCGTCTGTCGTCCCCCCCCCCCCCCCCCCCCCACCTAACCACCACCACCATCACCACCGTTCAGCTCCAATTGTCTTTTATCACAGAGATGATGAGTGGCAACGGCGCCAAGAGCGGCGGCAGAGTCAGAGAAAGGATTTGCAGATAATCACAGCAAAATGTTAAACTTGGCAGGAGATGAATACTTGAAAGTGACATCTGAGAGTGTGCATTTGTCTCGTCTTCAACGTGTCTGCATCAGTGTGTCTGAGTACAGGTGAAAGAGACGAGGGCAGGGAACAAAAACGCATGACAGAAGCTCTTTTTATCACTGTCAGTAATTGTGAGCCTTGTGTGTGTGCGCTACCAGTTTGTTCTTCTCTGGTATTTCTTTGGTCCTTGCTCATTTTTTAAAGTGGAACTGCAGCTGATATTTCATACATCACTAGTCCAGCCATGCTAACAA